AGACTGCAAATTTCAAGTAAAGCATGCTTGTTCTTACCATTTACAAAACATACAGCTTTGCGATACAACATAGATAATATTAAAGTTAATTTTAATTAAAACAGTGATCACACTACAGGAAATAATAGAAATGTGAAAATTGTGAATTCTTGAACTTCATGCTGTCAAAAATTCCTGCATGCTTCTTCGGCCTTAACAGCATGTCTTGGGAGCTGGGACTTCCGCAGAGTGGCACAGCGTCTGCCTGATAACTGCGAGGTCCTGAGTTTGATGCCCAGTACCCCCCATCCCCCAAATCAGACACCATATCTTTGTTCACATGTAAATTCAAAGTATGTGTGTGTGCGCTTGTGTGTATCCGAGACAGACGTTGAGATTTCTTTGTGTACTAGATTGGCTGTCAGGTATTTACAGGAGGCCTTCCTCTACCTGGGACCCCCTGCAGTGAGCAGCCTGCTTTCTGTCTGTGAGTGCCATTGTCCTAGGATTCCTTCCATGAAGGGCACATCTCCCAAAAGCCAGCTTCCTCTCTGCCATCCCACGCCTGCCTCTACCTAAGCGCAGGACTTTTGGCCAGGTCTGACCCTGCGGTCTCCTACCTGCACCTTCTTGTTAGGAACACACGTGGGAACTTAGGGTGCGTTGCCCTCCCAGGCTGGTACAACAGCGCACCACGGCTGAGTGGCTTAAGCTGCAGACATTCATCCGCTCACAGTTTTAGAGGCCAGGGTCCAGCATGAAAGTGCTCCGGTCCTGTTCGGGGCGCTTCCTCCAGGGTTGCAGGCGCCAGCGGTCCTTGTGCTGCTTGTCTTCTCAGCGTGTCTCTCTGATCTCTGGCTGTGACTTCACAGTGTTCTCCTTGTCTGCTCTTAGCGCGTTTTCATTTCCTCCACGATAGGGACTATCAGGGTCCTGATTTCTCTGCAATACGGCTTCTAAGTGTTCACGCTTATCATCTGTAGTAAGGGCTGTGTAAGCTGAACCCACACCTGCCAATTTGTCATTATTCCATTTTCTCTAAAACACTTTTCAGCAGGGCTTGGTGGCACACGCTTGTGATCCCAGCACTTGGAAGGCTGAGGCAGGAGGATCGCCACAAATTCGAGGCCAGCCTGGGCTATGTAGTGAACTCAAGGCCAGCCTGCACTACACAGCAAGACCCTGTCTCAAAAAATAATAGCACTTACACCTTTCAGGCAGATAGTACTTTATGTTTAAACAGTAGCAATTGACATATGTTTATACATTTTTCAAAAATAAAATTTAATTATTTTTTTTAATTTTCAGCCAGAAAACCTTGCTCAGAAGCTTCCAAACCTTGTGGAACTGTAAGTCTGTTTATTTAAACTTTTAAAAAGCAAGAATGTAAATAATTTTGTTTGAAATAATAGGATGTGTCATTGTATGTGCTAATGTCATTGTTTGGTACTGTGATCAAGGTGCTGCTGCAGGTAGACTTGCTCCATTAAACCGATAGTGTTCTAAAATATTTTGCCGTATATTGGTGTTTTTAGTGTCTCATCTCAGGGTAACGAAGATGATGTGTGATACATTTTTTCTGGGTAAAGCTCCTTGCCATGGAGCCTTCTAGATGGTTACAGTGGGAAAAATCTACACTTGTTATTACTACATGTGCCACTAGGTGGAAACAGCAAGGTGGCCTAAGTATTCAAAAGAATCCAGTGGGGTTGCCTTTCTGTGCATCCTCCACACCTCATTATTATATTTTTATAATTACCTCCATAATGGTAAATAACGTATTTCCACCCTTGCTTGGGAATACATCCACTTTGAGTGTCTGTTGACTTACTGAGAAAGATAAATTTAGGTCTTAGATCTCGTTCTTCCTAGCTGCCCCTTGACTTCCTTGCAGGATGACCTGCTTTGACATTTCTAGTTGTTCTCATTGTTTGTTAGGATTCCTATGAGGTAAAGGAAAGCTAGCCCTTTACCCCTTTTACATGCCCCCTTTTTATATTCATGGCCTCTATCATTTCCTTTTGTCAAATCCTTTTACTATATTTTGAAATTTTTCACACTAACAGAAAGTTTGACAATACAGTACAGTGAATACCCAGGTACCTTTCAGTTCAGTGTGAGCACTTTTAACATTTTGCCATATTAGCTTTCTCACCCCCCCAAAAAAAAATTGGCATATACAACACAGATGAATTATTTTGTGCTGTTTTAAAAGTAAGTTGCTGATAAAATATGGTCACACCTAGGAAAAGTAATAATCATTCTATGTCGACTATACAGTTAAATCATCCTAGTATATTTTTTAAAAAGGTGTATTAAAGCCCATATCTGTATTTTGTTATCTCCTCTTGATTAGATTCCATTTAGCATTGCTAAATTTTATTTTAAATTTTTTTTTGTATTTTAGGGATGGGTCTAAGAGTGCTCAGGCTCTCATTACCAGATCCTTCTCATAGTGATCTGCCTGTTTACAGCCTCCCAAGAGCTGGGTCCATTTAGCATTTTGATGGTGTTTCACTCAGTTTACTTTGTCAAGGTTTCACCTACATTGTTTGTGTACATTTGTGTATGTGTGTTCCTTTTTTTCCTGAAAATTTTTTTTTCATTTATGTATTTGATACAGGGTCTCACTACACAGCTCAGACTCATAGTGATCCTCCTATTTTCAGCCTCCCCAGCACTGGGATTACAGGTGTGCACTGCCACCCGTGCTTGATCTTGGTGGCTGGCTTGGTGTCCCCAGGTGTGGGTCAGCATGGCATATGGGACCGGGGATTGAACCCTGGTCCCTGTGCTTGCCAAAGCAGGTGCTTAGTTCACTGAGCTATCTTGCCAGCCCTTTTTTCCTGAAATTTTTAAAGCTAACTTAGATAATTGTGGCTTTTCTTTGTCCCTAAATACTTCAGTGTGTATCTCTCAAAACAAATTTTTTTTTTTCTTTCTTGGGTGGTACTGGGGAGGGAATGAAAGGCCCGTGCATGTTATGCAAGGATTCTGAGCCTGTCCCTACACTCCATATTTTTAGGTCACTTTTTTGTCCTTAAGGGTCGTTTTAGTCTTCATACAGTTTTTCAGAGTTCTAGGATCTACTCCAAAATATTTCAACTTTCCTTTTGCCATCATAAGTTTTCTCATCTGTTATATCTTCTAACTGGTTAAATGTATAATTGATTTTAGCCTGCTAACTATATCCTGCTATCTTGTAGGAATTTTACATTGTTTCACTCATAGGGATTCTTTAGTTCGCTGGTGGTGAGCCTGTGTCATGTGTGTTGTCTTGAAAGACAAAAGATGTTAATGTATGAATTGTTGCTTTGTTTTAAACTAAAACCTCAGTATTCGAGTTTAATTGCCGTGGTTGGGGATTGGGATTTGGCCGCTCATTCTCTAGAAGGTTCTCCATTACTGCTTTAGGTTCTCCAGATATCCTCTTGTATCTGAAAGCAGAGTGGTGTATTTGTAGATTTTCAACTCCCATGCCTTTAATTATCTTTTCTGGTCTAATGGCGCTGGCTAGTTCCTCCAGAGTGAGGTGTACTGGAATTCCTGAAGAGTTTCCTCCTGAAGAAAGAAGCTGGTTTTGGAATTAAGATATATGTAGTCTATTGTGTTAAGCCAGGATCCATGTGCATTAATTATCTATTGCTGTTTAGCAAAAGGAAACGTCCCCAGTTGTTGTGGCTTCTGAGAATAACATTCCTGTGTTTCCTGGTTTAGCTGCATGCCGGTACCTTGAGGTCGCTCCCAAATCTGCAGTCCGGTTTGCTGGCTAGGGCTGTGGTCTCATCTGAAGGATTCTTGTCTACGTTCACTCACCCAGTTGTTGGCAGAATTCAATCCCTTGTAGACTGCTGGGCTGAACGACTTCCTTGCTGGCTACTGATTAAGCAGAGAATTCCCTCTTGTTCTCTGCCACTTGCCCTCTCTGCTGAGTAGAGCACAACCTAGCAGCTCGAGTTTCTGTTGGATCAAGCAAACAAAACAATCAGAGAAGGTAGGGAAGACAGCCATAGTCTCTCCTAACCTGATCTTGGAATTGACATCCATCACTTTTGCTATATTCTGCCTACTAGAAATGAGTCGGTGGGTGTCACCATGCCGTGAGGGGAAGCTGTCACACAGGGCATGAGTGCCAGGTCCTGGGGGTCATCCCCAGGCTGCCTCCCACACCACTAATTCCAATTATCTTAAGAAGTTTAGCTAATGGGTCTGGGATTATGTTAAACACTTTCTGAGGCTTTAAAGCTAAGGAAAAATAAAATCCTTGGGGCCTTTAGGCAGCAAGATGAAATAATCATGAGGATGAGTAATGCGGCTTAATGCCCAGACTAAATTACGCACATAATGACTCCTGAATTCTGCCTTGATCCCCCCTCTCCCCCAAACTTTTAGTATTTTAACTGTGTTTTCATATCTAGATTCTTAAGAAGTAAATGCTGGGCTGGGATGTAGCTCAGTGGCTCAGAGCCTGCCTGGCAAGCATGAAATCCTGAGTTTGATTCCCAGTACCAAAAAAAAGAGAAGGAGAAGAAAAGGAGAAGTCATTGCTATTTCAGTCGTTTCCCACTTATAACATGTCAGTTTTCTCTGTTTTCAAAATTGTCTTATAATAATTGGTTTTTGGGAGTTTAACCGTCATGTGTCTAGGTAATGATTTTCTTTGTATTTATTATGGAATTTGCTGAGCTGCATGAATTTCTATTTTAATTAAATTTAGTATTATTTTTCAATCATTATTTCTTCAAATATGGTCATGTACACCAAAATAATATTTCACTCAGTGAAAGGCCATGTAAACAGCAATGGTTCCTTAAGGTTTTATTGTCTAGTGATGTCATAGCTTAGTCTTTCTAAGTACAGTTTGATGTTCTCACAATAAATTTACCTGGGGCCAGGGAGATAGCTCAGTAGAATAAATGCTTGCCTGGTAAGTGCCAGGGCCTGAGTTCAATGCCCAGTTCCGCAAAATAAATAAATAAATAAATAAATAAATAAATAAATAAATAAATCACCTAATGGAGTAGTTCTCATTTTTATTTGACATTCCTGTTTCTCCTTGTTGAGGTCCACATCTACTGTACATGCTGGTGTTATTCCACATACCTCTGAGGCTCTGTTGATACTTCCCTCCATCTTTTGTACACTTCAGTTCAGATCTTTGTATTGATCTGTTTTCAAGTGCATTCATTCTTTGTGGCATTCATCCTACTGTGTAGCTTTATCCAGTAGACTATTTAGTTCTAGAGGTTTTAAGTTTTCCTTCCTCTGCTGACACAGTCTTCTAAGTTACAGGTTCTGCCGAATGTTCATAATTGGATGTTGCCTCAGCATCCATTTTTAATATCAGTTGGACTCTCACACCAGAAGTAGAGCTCAGTCACTTCTGATGCAGTTTCCAGTCCCTTACCCTCCCCTCTCCCTGGTACCTTGGTGTGGTGCACCCAGGTGCATCCTTGTCCCAGTGCTCCCTGGTGGCCGCCTCCTCATGGGACAGTGAAGTGCAGTCTGTCTGACTGGTCCTGCTGACCCTCACACTGTACACGGGCCATGCAGAAATGCCACAGCAGGTAGTTCCCAGTCACCACCTCACTTCCTGGAGCTCATGCCCATGATCGCTAAGCCCACCAATAGAACTGATGAGAAGCCCATTAGGATAATTCCCTAAACCCCATACCAAGTGGGTGTTGGCCCTCTGGTCCCTCTACCTGCCTGCACACCCTGACTCCATATGTGTAGTCTCCAAGTGTCCTGTGGAACCCCGTGTCTGTAAATACGAACATCTGTATTTCTGTTGCCTCGCTTAGTCAATGAATGTACTCTAAGGAGCTGAAGTTATATTTTATATTGCTGTACATGATCTAAAATAGATTACAGTAGCTACCTTATAAATCCTCTGTTTTTTTTTTCTTTTATTTTTTGTACCAGGGATTGAACTCAGGACCTTGTGCTTGCCAGGAAGGCTTATATCACTGAGCTATCTCCCCGGCCCAAGATGCTATTTGCAGCATCTTGAGTTTTCTTACCTGTTTTCCATTTGTTGATAATATATCACATTTTCCTAAAGTTTTTATTTTGAATAATTTTGATTTTAGATTACATTCTAGAAATTGGGAACATGATATTTTGGAGACCATAATTTACTATATTTCTGTTTTTAATTTTATTTTTTAAAGAGAATACAAAATAGTGTTGAAACAAAAATTACAAGTGATACAGATTTTCACTTAAAGTAATATGAATTTCACAGTATTTGTTGTAGTACAGTGTTGTTTTCCAGCCAGTTATCTGTATTGCCATATATATGTATGCAAAATTGGAAGAAGAAAAGAAAGAAATAAGAGAAAAAGGA